TTTATCACCAGCCTGAGATTCTCCCCTGAACTCTGACTTGCACATCCAACTGTATACTTCACATGTGCATTTTGATTCTGATAGGCACCACATGTCCAAAGCCAAAATCTTAATATTTACGAGCACTGTCCCCAAACCCAACCAGATCCCTCTGCAGCACACCTGTCTCAGTCAGTGGTGACTCCGTTATTCTGGTTGTTGGTTCAGTGACAGCCTTAGTCCTCTTTCTCTTATCATCATCACCTAGTCCGTGATAAAATCCAGTGGGCGCTACCATACATATACACCCAGAATTACACCACTTTTCATAACCTTCAATGCCACCATCCTGGCCCACATCGTAATCATTTCTTGCTTAGATTACTGCCATAACCCCTAACTGGTATTCATGTTTTGCCCTTAACCCCCAACAGTGTATTCTCTACAAGTACCCAGGGTGACTGTTATATACACTAAGTCAGATTATGTCACTCCTCTGCTGAAATCTTCAATGGCTCCCATGGATTTAGCACAACCAGCATCCTCATCAAGATTTACAAGACCTTCCTTGCTGGTCACTTCACTGACTTCATGTCATTTCTTTGCCCTCTTTCTCTAGATACACTCTCCTTGCTGTCCTGCAAACATATCAGACATGCCCCTATTTACTAGCTTTGCATGTCTGTTCCTTTTATTCAGAATGCCCTTCCTCTAGATATTGATATGGCTGGCTCCCTGACTTCCTTCACTACTGACTTCAAAGTGACCTTCCAATTAGAGCTTTCCCTGGCCACTCTATCAAAAATATTTACCTTGCCTGGCTGACATGGCTTAGTGGTTGAGCATCGACCTATGAACCAGGAGGTCACGGTTTGATTCCCGGTCACAGCACATGCCCGGGTTGTGGGCTCAATCCCTAGTATGGAGCATGCAGGAGGCAGTTGGTAAATGATTCTTTCTCATCACTGATGTTTCTATCTCCCTCTCCCTTCCTCTCTGAAATCAATACAAATATATTAAAAAAATATTTACCTTGATTATTTTGTCTTCTCCATTTGAAAGGAGCTCAGAGATATTGGTTGATATTGATCACTACTCTCTAAGCTCTAAATCAGTGCCAGTAAATCAGAGGTGCTTAATAAATAATTATGGAATAAATTAATTCATTCAAAAGTGAAAGTCAGTATCTATTCCATATTTATATGTCCTAGTTATCAGTGACAAATCTACAAAGTCACAGCCTTGAAAATCCGAAAGCTATTTTTCAGTCTTGACTGTAATGGTACTTTCAATTAGCAAACAAGGTGGCTCCAAAGTCTACGACACCTGGAATGCTATCAGGCACCCCGATTTAGGCATGGGATCCAAAAGCTCCAATATTCCTGGTCTCTCACAAACATGAGTCTATCCCCACACCTTTCCTAAGCCATAGTTTTCTAATTTCTGAATGGGGCATCTGATCTTATGCAACCCAAGTATTTATGTGGAGTTATAAAATATAAGGTGGGGCCACAGTAGGTTACAGTTGTTCATATAGAAAATAATACAATAATAAATAAATAATAATACAAGAATAAAATCTGTTTTGTGTACTTATGACTGTATATCTACTTTTGCTCCACTCTGGAATTTTAAACTCAAAATCAACAGCAGCAATTTACGTAAAAAGAATCTTTAAATGAACATTTAAAAGCATGCATTTTAAACAAAGTATTTCAAACATTACATGTGTTCATTGAAACTCTAAAATTAAAAATGTTAAATGACAAGTTGATTTTTTTCACCCGGTAGCAAAAATGAAATATGGTCAGAGAATCTGAGGAACAGATGGAAATGGGGAGGGAAGTGAAGGCACAGAGACTGTGCTGACCAATGGCAGTTCTCTTTCTAGCCAAAGCCTTCTACACTGCCTCCCAACCCACACATACACATGCAAACACACACACACACCAGACCCTCAGAAACATTCACTCTAGATACTAGAGTGGGATCAGTTTTCACAACATACTTACTTTTACAACTGTTTCCTTAATTCATGATATAAGGAGCTATGGGTCTGCTCCATTGGCACACCCCCAACCTCTCCACCAGACCACATTCCCTATTCTTAGTAAAATAATGCAGAACATGCACAGCTTAGCATGTATAACCAGTGGGACAGAGCTGGAAGCTAAGGCAATGAAACAACCATTAGCAAGTCACCTGGACACTTTGCGCCTCAGTTTCCTCTTCTCGATGGTGAATGGGAAGAATGTCATGGAGCTTTAGTCTCCCAAGAGCTCCACCAGTTCCCCACCCTTTGACATGATCTAGTTATTTGTAAACTTATAAAACAAAGTTTCCATACATGTCTCCTAGCCCTCTCTTCCAACCAGAGTGCTTCTTAGTTCCTGCCTTACGGATATTTTGGTACTAGTAGCGGGTTGGCATTATAATGGTCTACCTCCAAAATTCTATTAAAGAGAAAGGAGGAGTGAGTGAAAGACAACACTATGTTCACTTCAGTAAACACACTTAGCATAATTGGGGCAGGGGAATTGCCACCTTCACCCTGTTATATCACACCAGTACTTTCCAGTACTTACTGTGCGAAATGAAAGACACCCTTGGACACCTGCTTCATGTATGCAACAGGTTCCTTTCTTTATTTTATACTAGAGGTCCGATGCACAAAATTCTGCAAGGGGCTCGGCCCTCACAGCCACGGCTGCCTTGGCCCTCGCAGCCCCAGCTACCTCACGGCCCTGATCCCTGCCCACTGGTCGTTCCAGAAGGTTGTTCTGGAAAGTCGTTCTGGAAGGTCGTTCCAGAAGGTTGTTCCAGAAGGTCATTCCGCCATCCGGTCTAATTAGCATATTAGCTCTTTATTATATAGGATGTCTTCACAGTCATCTATTTATATTACAAAAGGAAACCTATGAACACAGCATCTAATTACCTAATCTATATCTATATAATAAAAGCCTAAGCGACTGTTATACAGAACCAGAATGACCGGTCGCTATGATGCGCACTGACCACCAAGGGGGCAGACGCTCAACACAGGAGCTGCCCCCTGGTGGTCAGTGTGCTCCCACAGGGGGAGCGCTGCTCAGCCAGAGCCGAGCTCATGGCAGGTGAGTGCAACGGTGGCAGCGGGAGCCTCTCCTGCCTCTGCAGCAGCACTAAGGCGCAGCGAGGCAAGTGGTAAGGAGCAGAGAGCAGGCGGGCTGTAAGGAGCAAGGGCTCCCGAACTGCAAGAGAGCGCAGGCCTGACTGAGGGACCCCTCCCCAGTGCATGGATTTCATGCACCAGGCCTCTAGTCTATATATATAAATAAACCCTATATGCAAATAGACCAGATGGAGGAACAACTGATCAACCAAACAACCAGTCGCTATGACATGCGCTGACCACCAGGGGGTGCACGTAGAACATGGCAGGCGTCAGCAGCAGGCGGCATAGAGCGGAACATGGCGGTGGCGGCCACGGCGGGATGGTGGAGCAGCAGAGTGGGGGTGCCAGACCAAGGCGGGGTGCCAGTCGCTGTCATCAGGGTGAGCCTTCGGTGGTTACTGAAAATTCTTTGCTCCCACGTGCCGTGGTCCCGCCTGGCGCTCACACCTACTGCCACCGCCTGGCACCAGCCCTGATCACTCAGTGCCATCAGCGGCTGCTGTCCCTGATCACCCCTCAGGGCTTCTCCACTTCCCCCTGTTCCTGAGGAGCGATCGGGGCCAGCAACCGCCTCTTTCACCCACTGCTGGTGCCAGCCCTGCTTGCACCTGCAGCAGACGCCACCACTCGCACCCACTGCAGGCACCCAGCACCAGTCCCAATTGCCCCTGAGGGCTTCTCCCCCTCCTCCTGCTCCTGGGGGGCGATGGGGGCAGCAGCCGCCGCTCGCACCAGCTGATGGCGCCGGCCCTGCTCACACCCACTGCTGGCTCTGGCCCCAATAGCTCCATGCTGTCAGTGGGTGCAGGCGGGGCTGGCGCCGTCAGTGCCTGGGAGCAGTGGTGGCAAGAGCAGGGCTGCTGGCAGACAGGGGACCAGGAGCTGCGGCGGGAGGGGCCGGGCAGAGGCATGAAAGATGGGCCGAGACCCTCCCCTGTGCCCACTGCAGCCTCGCGGTGCACAGTTCCTTTCAAGGTGCATGAATTCGTGCACTGGGCCCCTAGCACTTTCATAAGAAGAAAAGAGTTGCCAATAAATCCAGGTGAGTTGTCAGGTGTTTGGGAGACAACACATTAGGCTTTCAATCATCATGTCTGGTTTAGCTGAACATATGGTGCTACCAGCAGAGTCACCTGCTCAGCCTGGTAGACAAAAGGACCAACCACAGACATGTTACCTACTCTGTATGGGCAGAGAAAAGCAGCTTTCTTTCCCAACCCCAGCCCCTCATTCCCTGTAATAAACAAGTACAAATTCAAGGGCCTTCATTATTGTCACCCTTCCCACATGTAAATTCACTGACAGGTGTGGGGGAGTCCTTTACTTTTCCCAGTGACTAAATTGAGACAAAATACAATACATTCCAGCCATAACCAAGTAGTAAAATTTCAAGGCAATTCATCATTGGTTACTTTTTTTCCACTACTATTGAAATCAATGTAAACTGAATGTCAACTTTGGGGAAAATCCAATACTTTCTTCTACAGCTAAGTGTAGATCACTATAGGTAATCATATAAATATGGTGAGCTTTACTTGCTTTGGTCTTTTTCTGGATACAATCAACAGGTCTATGAGATTCTTCATTAAATTTGACTTAGTTTTACGAATGTCTAAATCTTCTGATGGAGGAATGAGAGTTTGAAAGACTGCTTTACTTTTTTAAAAGAAGCAGATTATTTTAGTTTAGATCCTCACATAGCCTAGGGACGCCCTGCCGATGCCGGACCCTGGCCCACAGACAGGCCCAGCATGAGCATGGCTCAAACCCAGCTGTATGTCTCCATCCTGCCCACCAGCCACCCCACAATGTGCCCAGGTGCCCCCATGGCGGAGCCAGGGAAGCTGGGCAGGGAGCCCTTTACCTGCCAGGCTGCCCGGCCTCTGGAGGGTGGCGGTGGCATACAGCTCCTGCGAGTGCTTGCTGTACTGGTCGGACGCGTGGACCAGGCGCTTGGTGGGCGACAGGGTGGCGTACGTGCCGATGGTGGAGCTCAGCTGGTGGATGGGCGAGGAGGAGATGGTGGACTGCACGGTGGGGGGCGAGGTCACGCGGATCGGGGACAGGCCGGCCGAGGACACGACGATGTTGATGGGCGAGCTGGTGCTGTAGGACTTGGCCAGGCGGCTGGGCGACTGCTTGGGCGAGGAGCCGCGCGGCGC